CTCCACCAAGGCTGGGAAGTCTCAAGTGGAGGAGAAAGGTAAGTATTGGGCTTAGTCATGTAATGACTAAGGTTGGAGAAGTTCTCTAAGACGATTAACTGTTCCCCCACCATTAACCACGTCCCCAAGTGCCACATCTACATGGTTTTTAAATCCCTCCAGGAATTGTGGCTCCACCATGCTGGGCAGCCTCTGCCAAATTTTCCTTTCTTGGCAACCTAAACCTCCTCTGGTACAACTTGAGGCTGTTTTCTCTGGTCCTAATGCTTGGAGCACAAACCTGCCCCAAAACCTCTCCTCTTGGCACTCACCACTCTTGGTTGGCTGTGCCCCTGTGGTCTCTGCCCGTGGTTGCCCCTCACTGCCTCCCTGCATATCCCATGGTGCCAGACCCTGCCAGCAGCATGGGAACTGCTGGGGGATGTGACTGGAGGAGCAGAGCTTGAGGGGGGCTGGTGGTGTGTTTCTCCACAGATAGCATGGACTTCTCCAGCATGACACTCACCCAGATCAAGCGACAGGAGATGGACTCGCAGGTAGGAGGTTCCCTTGTTTTGAGAAACACACCCAGTCAAGTCTCTCTTGGGCTGCCTGGGGTGGGGCATCAAATCTGAGGTCACCATACCCAGCTGCCCCCAGGTAGCACAAGCAAAGGCAAAGCCCAAGGCATGAAGGCAGCAAGATGGGTATGCCCAGGAGTCACATCCACTTGGTCCTCGATCCCTCCCTGATGCTGTTCCCATCATGACATAGCAGCCCGTGGCCATCCCTGCCCCCCATGTGCTACCCACAGCACCCACCTCTGCCTGGCATGGGGCAGCTCTGGGGAATTTCCCTACCTGGGAAGCCCACACAGATCATTGTGCTTTCACCTGTCTGCACAAGCAGTTGCCCACCTGAGCTCCATCCCCTGCCCATGTCCACTCATTGGAGCGCTCATGGGATGCATCTCTGTGGTCTTTGGGCTCTATGTTGGGGGGATAACGGGTGTGAAAGGGGAGTGCTTGGCCCAGCTCTGTGCTGGGGTGGGCATGTCCTGGGACGTGTCTCCAGGTGCGGGTGCTGGAGCTGGAGAACCAGCTGCAGAAGGAGCGGCAGAAGCTGGGGGAGCTGCGGAAGAAGCACTACGAGCTGGCCGGCGTGGCCGAGGGCTGGGTGGAGGACGGTGAGTGGTGCCAGCCCTGCTCCAGCTGGGCAGCTGCTCCCGGAAAAGGTGGGGCAGGGTGGAGGAGTCCTGCCTGCCATCCATGGCAGTGAGGTTTTGCTGCTGCTGGCACAAGCCTGAGGATAGTTGGCACACATGGGCAAATCTATGGGGTCTCTAAACAGGAAAAACCCCAACATGTGGGATCTACACCATCCCCAGGCAGGGGACTCAGGTGCTGCTAGAGCAGCCTTGTGGTCTCAGAGGGATGGGGCAGAGGGGCAGCGCACCCCCCTGACCTTGTCTTCCCACTTACAGCTGCAGATTAGTACCAGTGGTAGAAGTAGACCACAGGGGACATCTGGAACCCTGTGGGGGACACCCCTGGGACCCCACTTGGCGCAGTCTGTTGAGAAGAATCCCAAGGAAGTGGTGCAGAAGCCCCCCTGAAGCACACATCCCCTGTGTCCCCCCAGGAGCTGCCTCCAGCAACAGAGCTGAGCCGCCAGCAAGACCCCGGAGCCGGGGCGAGGGTGCAAACCACACCTGTATTTATTAGAACTGCTGGGGGTGGGGGGAGGTGTCTACATGGGGGTCTTTAACCCTTTAGTTTTGTTTTTGCACAGATTCTGGGAACCCCTAGAGCCTTCTCTGGCTGAGTGAGTGGTTGGGCTTCTCTTGCCTCTCGCTGCTTTTCCAGCCTTAATCCAGCCCCTGGCTCGACGTGAATGTACCCCCGCCCTGGGAATGAGCATGCTGAAGGCCCCAGGGGTGCTACCAGGTGTGGGACAGCCTTTGGGGTGCTGCTGGACTTGGTGCTAAGTGTGCTCCACCTCGTCGGGGACGCCGAGTGCCTTTGGCCGCTGCAGGCTGAGAGGTGGTGTTCCCATGGGATACCCTGGCCAGTGACAGAGTATTAGGAACAGCTAGGAAAAGGGCAGCAGCAGGAGGGATGCTGCCATGAGCTCCTGTCCCTTATTCCAGGTCCTCAAAATGCCTCCCAAGCACCCCCCGAGTTGGGCTGCTCTGCCCTGACAGTTCACTGTGTTCATGCCAGCAATAAATCCTCCGCAAGGTGCTGCGTGTGGGTTTGGGCCATCACAGTGCCACCACAAGCCACCAGCTCCTGGGGACAGGGGGTGACTCTAGGGCAGCAGCACAGAAGGTTTGGGGGGAAGCCAGGAGCACCCCAAAGTCAGAGTAAGCAGCTCCCTGTCCCTGCTCACTTTGGTGCCACTCTGGTGTCATTCCCACCCTCTTGAGTGCAGGGGGACCAGGGCCAGCGTGGCTGTGGGCAGGGGTGGCCGTGGAGCTGGCACCAGCCAGGGAATCTTTGTGCCTTGAGCAGGGGACTCAGGGCAGGGGGCATCAGCTACCTCCAGGACCCCCAGCTCATCTCACTGCAGTGGAGACAGTGATGTCAGACCATGCAGCAATGTCCCCATCCCCCACAGTCCTGCTGGTGACCCCGCTGGGGCCAGTCTCCCTCCACTTGGGGTACTGAGGATGGGATTTGGCCTTTCTCCCTTTGGGAAGAGGCTGGGCTGTCACTGTGTGCTTTCCCAGCAAGGTGCTGTCAGCACCCAGCTGGCACCTGGAGCAGTGGGACCTGCCATCCCTCCAGGCAGCCATCCCACGTGCAGGGACCCGTTCCCTGTCCAGCCCTGCCTCTGGACCACCTCCTCTGTGCACCAGCCCGCTGCAGGCACCTGGGCCTGCTTCTCAATCTCCAACCCGTGCTGGCTCCCCTTGGACGCAATACCAACCATCCCATCCCTGCAGGACACACAGCCCCAAAACCCTCCCCGCTATTTCGGGGGAAGTCTCGCCTGCACATCCAACTACCTCAGGCCTTGGGGCTGGGGAGCAGCACAGAGGTTACAGTGGCAGTGGGGGCTTGGGGACAGCTGCACTGCTCTCGGCCTAATCCACTTGTCCCTTTTGTGTCTCAGCCAGCCGTGGGCAGAGGGTCCCTGCAGTGTCTCCAGTGATGGCACCTGGTGACAGGGACGGCAGGGGTGCCCCCCCCCCCCACTGCATGGCAAGTTGATTTGGGTTTTCATTGTGTGATAATGACCGCGTTGTTTGTTTTGGATTTTTCAATAAAGCCTTCAGCCCAGCCCCGCAGCTTGAGGGGGACACAGGGGACCTGTGTCTCAAGGGGGTTGTGGGCTCTGCCCTCATCAGTGTGCTCAGTGGCCCTCAAAATCACTTGGTGACCTGGGTATTGTTCTGGTGATGACCTCCAGCCTTTGCCCCCACTGTCCCACACCTGCGTGTCTCCATGGCCAGCCTGCATGTCACTTCTTTTTGCTGTGAGAGCACCAGGATGTGGTCCCAGCCCAGCCCTGCGGAGCACAGGTGACTTGGTCGTCCCTTCCTGGGAGGATGATGCTGCAGTGGGGAGGCCATGCAGATCATCCTGTCACCCCGGCAGAGCTGGGTGGCCCGTGGAGTCCACAGACAGGGATCTTGGGGGAATGTCCCCTCCTAAGCATGGTTGACCCACCCTGGGCAGCACCTAGAGTCTTCCAGCCTTGCCAGGGCCACCTGGACCCCTGGAGTGCAAAAAGCCCTGTGACAGCAGCCACTGCCCTGTCATTATCCCTGCTGTTGTCCCTGCCTGCCATGGTCCCTGTCCTCCAGGAGACAGCTGACTGGCAGTAGGGTGGGATAGCCCCAGGGGTAGCCATGTCTCCTGAGGAACGCAAGGGCTCAGCTAGCCAGAGAGAATTTCCCACCGTTCCCAGCTCTGTCCTCAGAGCAGGATGGTGGCAATGGCACCCTACAGCTGGGACAAGGGGACAAGCTGGACTGGTGGTGACTGGAGAGAAGTGGGACTGTGTCCCCGGGATCCTGCACATGGGGTACAAAGTCAGATACGGGGTCAGGATTTGGGACCTGTGAGGACGTGCAGGAACTGGGACAGCGAGACACAGAGGCTGGAATAGTATAGGGGGACTGTAGGGAACACGATGGGGGGAGGGACACAGCGGCTGTCATGGAATGATGTATGGGGGTTATTAAGAGACAGGACAGGAACACAGGGACCGGGAGTGGGAGGACATGGGAATTGGGATGGTAAAGAGGCCTGTGGATTGGAGATGGGAAGTTGGAAGCTGGGTGGAGGAGACGTGGTGGGGCAAGCTCGAAAGTCCCGGTGGGAACCGGGGGCACATGGCCCGGGGCAAGGGAGATGGATGACGGGGGGGCGAGGGGAAGACCCTGGCTGGGGAACTAGAGGGGAGGACAGGCGTGTCATTCGGGATCTTGGCGGTGGGGACGGGGTCGGGGCCTGAAACAGACCCGCCCGGCGGCGCAGAGCAGGCGGCGGCCAGCGGAGGCAGGGCCGGCCGTGCTCGGGGGGGCCCGGCTGTCCCGGTCCCGTCTCTCCCTCGGTCCCGTCTCTCTCCCGGCCCGTCTCTCCCTCGGTCCCGTCTCTCCCTTGGTCCTGTCTCTCTCCCGGCCCTTCTCTCTCCCGGCCCTTCTCTCTCCCGGCCCGTCTCCCTCGGTCCCGTCTCTCCCTTGGTCCCGTCTCTCCCTCGGTCCCGTCTCTCCCTCGGTCCCGTCTCTCTCCCGGCCCGTCTCTCCCTCGGTCCCGTCTCTCCCTCGGTCCCGCCTCTCCCTCGGTCCCGTCTCTGCCGTAGCCGGAAGCGCCGCCCGCCGCCGAAGCCCCGCCCCAAAAGCCGCTGTCCCAGCTCGCCCCGCCCATTAAGCCCCGCCCACCCACGGGGCCCGGCCCCTCCGCGCATGCCCACAGGACTCGTCGCGCCGAGGGGAAGCCCCGCCTACCGCGCGTGTCCCTCCCCCTGAGCCCCGCCCCGCAGAGCACGCCGGGAGCGGCGGGCGCGCAGCGATGGCGGGCGCGGGGCCGGGCGGGGGGCGGGATGGGGCCGTGAGGGCTGCGCTGGCCGTGGCTGCCGCGCTGGCGCTCGCCTTGGCCTGTCTGCTGCTGCGGGGCGCGCTGCTGGGCGCGGCGGCGCTGGGCGCAGCGGGCGCCTGGTGCGCCATGCGGCCCGGCCCGCCCGCGCCGCGCCCGCCCGGCAAAGCCGCCACCAATGGGGGCCCGGCCGCGAGGGCCGCGCCGCGTCGCCCCCAGCCCGGGTAGGCCAGGGGAAGACGGGGGTAGAGTGGACGGGGAAGCCCCCGACCGCGTCGGAGGCGCTGACCGTGCTCTGTCCCCACAGGGTCCCGCGCTGCCGGCCGCAGGCCCCGCGCCGTCGGTACCCGCTGCCGGAGGCCCGGCCGGCCGTGCCGCTGTGCTTGCCCGCCGCCCGCTGGGAGGGCGGCTCCCCCCGCAGCGCGCCCTGGGCCCGCCGGGCCGGGCCGCTCCGCAGCCCCGTCACTGTGAAAATCGCCCCGCCGGCCGTCGGCATCGCCCGCTCCCCGGCGTGAGTACAGGGTGACCGGTTATCAGCCGTGGTGGGGATCAGAACGCGCCGTGGGGAGCGCCCAGCTGGCTGTGCCCGAGAGCAGCAGCCCTTCCCGAGCGCTTGCCATGTGGCTGGGGGGATGGTGCTGTCCAAACCTCCGGAAAGGGCTGCAGGGGAGAGCTCTGTCCTCCCTTCGGGGATCACACCAAGTACCTCGGCCTGCCTCACACCTCACTCTGCTCTGTTCCACAGCCTGGAACAGTTGGTCTCGCCTCTGGCCTTGCCAGCCACAAGCAGCCCTGACCCGTGTGCAAAGGAGACTGTGCTGAATGCCATCAGGGAGAGCAGGAAGAGGGCTGTGGAGGAGGAGGAGGACCAGACTTTTGGGAATGATCAGGAGAACAAAAGAAGGTAAAAAGGGAGCGGTTCAAGTTGCCAGTGTGTTGGAAAGGTCGCAAATGGGATTCTTATTCATGAAGTGATAAATGGGATGTGCATTAGAGCATGCCAGGCCCCATGAGACCTCGAGTCAGGGCTGGAAAAGTACTGTGAGAAGTGAACTGCAGAGAGGAAGCACCGCTGATCCATCACCCAGCCCTTGGTGCTGTGTCTAAAAGTCCTCCTCTGCAGTCACAGGAGTGTGGTTTAGGTATGGGTCCAGTGTGTTCTCCTGCCTGGCTTGATATGTTTTGGGAAGCCTGGGTGGGAAGTGGCTTGTCTCCTCACAGGGGTTTGAAGACTGAGAAAGCATGGTGGGAAATGTTGGTATCTGCTGTGGGCTCCATCCTTCTGTCAGCTCCAGGCTCCCAGGAGAGATGGAATTACCAGGTAGAAGCATTGCATTTGAAGAGCTCCAAGCACTTCCCTTGTGAGCTGATCTAGCAGAGGGAGGTGAAATGAGCAAGTAAATGAGACACTTTCTATTGCTTTTGTTACTCAAGGTCAGCAACTTCCATCCCTGAGTTCAAAGGAGGGAGGGTGCTGTGTTTTTGCCAGTGTCCCTAGGAAGGACAAGGAGTAAATCCTGAGAGCCATTGTCTGCCAGAGCCTTTCAAACCACCTACAGCACTGCTTTGCTATCCCACCCTCCTGCTTTTCCTAGAATCACAGGATGATTTGGGTTGGAAGGGACTTTAAAGCTCACCCATTGCCACCCTCTGCTAGACCAGTTGCTTCAAGCCCTGTCCAACCTAGCCTTGAACACTCCCAGGGATGAGGCAGCCACACTTTCTCTGGACAGCCTGTGCCAGGGCCTCACCACTCTTAGAGGGAAGAATTTATTCTGTATATCCAACCTAAAGTACCCTGCTTTCAATTTGAAGCTTTTCCCCTTTGTCCTATGACTGCACTTCTTGATGTAGCCCTTCTGTTTCCTTGAGATCCTTTCCCCTTCAGATCCTGAAAGGCTTCTGAGATCTCCACACCATCTTCTCTGCTTCAGGCTGAACAGCCACTGATGTCTCAGCCTGTTCCCATAGGGAAGGTGCTCTAGTCCCCTTGCCAAATTTGTAGTTCCTTTCTGGATTTGCTCCAACAGTGGCCTTGTCCTTCCTAGTTGTGTCCATGGAGGCTCTTCCATCTGGGCTGGGATAGGGAGCTGAGACACTGATTGGGCAGTGCCTGGGGCATTGTCCTGCACTGGGGCTGCTGCTGGAGGTAGCCCAGGGAACAGAACAGGATAAAGCAGGGCACACCGACCTCTGTCAGCACTGAATTCCCATCTCTGGATGCTTGGCTCATTGGATCAGAGCCCCACAAGAGCCAATCAGGACAACTACAGAATGGGTGCACAGACAAGATCAGCTCAGAGTATTTTTCTTTAAACTGTTTTTGTAATATGGTAATACACAGCTCTGCCACAAAAGCCAGTTTTGAAGGAATTAATGTCTGGCAAGCACGAGGAATGCTTGCAGATAGAAAATTTCCTTGGTGGACAGAAAGGAGCTGTGTCACCTGGAGAGAGTGGGATCACCTGTGCCTTGGGGTCAACTTGCCCTGGGCTTGAGGGGAGCGCCTGGCCAAATGACCAAGTGACAGGGCTGTTCTACAACTTTAGTTCCACTTTACGGGAGGATGTCTTTTGTGATTTTGGCACTTCAGATTGTCATGAAGTCATAGTGGGAAGGGGATTTCAGTTTTTTACTTGAAATGTCCCAGGCGCTGGTTAAGAAGAGGTCAGAGGTGGGAGTTTCAGAGCTCAGGTCTGTTCAGAAAGACTGAGCAGCTCATTTCTGGAAGTATTTTGGCTTAGAGTAATGGATTTAAGCAATTTTTTTTTTTCTTACGCAAAACTACTGTGCCAAGCAGGCTGCTGGAGGAGCTCCTGGTGTTTAGGGTGAGAGTCGGCAAGGAGAGGCCCACAGGGAGAGAAAATCTGCAGCAGGGTGTAGATGGGAGAAAGCTCTGTCCTGAGTATTGGGTGCCAGGAAAAAAGCAAAGTTTGATCTCTCTCTGGGTACTCAGCCTGTCTTTCCCCAGGCTGGAGAGGTTTCCACACTGTCATAGGCTTTCACACTCTCTTCTCACAGGCGCCACGACAGCAGTGGAAGTGGGCAGTCAGCATTTGAGCCATTAATAGCCAATGGTGCCCCTGCTTCTCTCATACCCAAGTAAGTGCCCAACAGCCAAAAGCAACTGCTAGAATGGGAGGGAGCAAATGTCTGGGATCTGGAAAAGGGGGCTTGGGTTTTGCTTGCAGAGCCTGACTTTGGGGCAGAGCAAGAGAGACTGTGGTTGTGCCTTCAGTCTGTCACCCTGTGACAGCAAGGGTGTGCTGCTGCTGAGGGTTGTTTCTAAGCAGGATTTCCTTCCTCTATCTGCCCTGCATGAAAAGGTCTGGTGGGCAGGAGAGGTGAGGAGCTTATCAAACTTTCATCCCCCTCCAGGCCAGGCTCTCTGAAGAGGGGCCTCATCTCACACTGCCCAGATGACTGCTCCAACAAGAGGTCTCGCACCTCCTCCATGAGCTCCCTCAACAACACCTATGCTGGTGGGATCCCCAGCTCCATCCGCAATGCCATTGCCAGCTCCTACAGCTCCAGCCGGGGCCTCACACGGGTAGGAACACTGTATCTTGACATTCTTTTGGGATCCCAGCTCTGGGCTCATGAGGAGACACTGGTGTGGCAGGATGTCTGGACCCAGTGTGGCTCAACCTGGCAGTGTCACCACCCTGGGGAACAGCTGAGCTGTGGGCCATGGGCCGAGCAGCAATTACTTGGTTTTTGGAGGAGTCCCAGGCTGAACTGTACTGCTGCTTTTACACCAAACCAAGAACGAGTCTTTTTTCCCCCTCTCCTGCTACTTGGCCAGCCTGCTAGACTGCATAGATCCAGGTGAAGGAAAAAAATTAAAAAAGGTTTTGCTGTGCTGACATCTTTTCAGCAGTAGTCAGCAGTGTGGGAGCCATATGTTCCCACTCTGACCCAAGTCCCACCTGCTGACTGTGACGGAGCTTTGTCTGTGTGGGGAATGGTTTGCTCCAGGTGGTGGGAGGGACGGGTTTGCTGGGGCTGCAGAGAGTCTCACCCTTGCATTGGAATCCATCTGCTTTGAGCTCCTGGCGTGGAGGCGCTGGCTTCTGCCAGAGCAGCCCCACACACGAGGGTGTCCAAAGCAGTAGGGTGGCCTCTACCTGTGTCACACAAAGGCAAGGGCCCAGCAGTGTACTCTCTCCCTGCGTTCAGCCAGGGCAGTAAAAGCTCTGGAGGCTGCTTGTTCTTTATGTGCATTCAGCTTAGGGTGGCCAAATTTTGTGCTCCCTAAAATATGGGGGGGAGTATTGGTGAAGCAGGAGAAGCTCTGAGCTCATTGGGCTCAACAAACCTTGGCAAATGGGGCTTACTGAGGGTGAGCAGGGAGCCTGTGCTCTCTGCCAGACCCATGCCAAGTTACTGCTGGTATCTCTCTGCATTCCAGCTGTGGAAGAGAAGAGGTGTGAGCGTGTCCCCTCTGTCCAGCCCAGCGTCCTCCCGCCCCCAGACACCAGAGTGGCCTCTCAAGAAAGCCAGGTAATCAGCTGATGGCCAGCCAGCAAGAGAGCAGTCTTTCCCAGCCATCTTAGAATGCAAGTCCCACTTTCCACTGTAGCTGGGAAAGTCCAGACCCCTCTCCTACACGTAGTGATGTAGAGACCCACTTGTGTCAATTGGCCTCCCTGTCACCTTGTCGTGCTGTGGTGTGTCTAAGCTGTGTCACCTCTGGCCCACTCCCAAGCCAGGTCAGAGATTTCAGGACACAGTTGTCACCGTGGTGATGGTCCTGGTGGCATGGGCATGGCCTGGATTGCCAGATCATTAGGAAGAGACAGGCCCTGCTTTTTGCTATGTTAAAGTCAAATCCCAGGATCTGTATTTTAGTGCCTGCCTTGGAGCACAGTCTGTGTTCTCCTCTTTCCCAAGTCAGAGGAGCCTGAGCTTATGTCAGAACTAAAACTGACACAAGCACCTGGTTGGGTCCAACCTGCGAGGAGCAGTGACTTCCATCTGAGACCCCCCAGCTACCCTCCTGAGGCTGACTCATCTTGTGGAGGGTGCACAGGCTCAGCCAAGCTGAATCTGGAGCAGGAAGCAATTACTGTGCCTGGAGCTGGGCAAAGCTTTTGTCTTGAGATCTGTTTGCAGGAGGCAAATAAACACCAGGGATACTCGTGCAAGTGTTCAGCCTGTTCAGTCTCATCCTGCTCCCTGCGGACAGGGCTGGGCCCAGGGTCAACCATAACTGTCCCTCCTGCTTACACAGGGAAGAGGAGTCACATCATTCCAACACTTCCACCCCAGTGAAATCAGACAAGGAGCTGCAGACAGAGAAAGGTAGGTGTGCCCTGACACTGCACTCACGTCACCAGTGCAGGCAAGAGAGTGGGACAGGAAGCAGCTGAGGTCTGCAGTGGGATTGGCTTGAGGGGTCACCTGGAAACTTGCCCTATGCTGGTTCCAAGGCAGTGGCACTTCTGCTGGCCTCAGTGACTGCCTTAGTGGGATTTCCAAGTGATAAGGGTGTGCTGACAGTGTTGGGGTGCTAGCAGGTGCTTGGGAGTTGGCTTGCAAGGGGGAGCTCCAGCTCCCAACCCAGCTTGGATCAGGTGTCAGCCTTGATCCACAACCTACAGTGGTGTGAGTAGCACTCTTACAAATTCCAGTCTGAGCTTAGTCCAGTTCTTCCTCAGCTAAAACGGAGAGGAAATCCTCTGTATTTCTGTAGATGGGCCCCATGATATAGTGCCAGCTGTGGCATGTGGTTTGCGTAAGGCAGTGTGTTGGCACAATCCATGGAGCTAGGAAGGGGCCACTGCCCCACCAGCCTCATGTCATGGACCTACTGGATGTGAATCTGCTCTTCAGGGTATCACAGCCTTGTCCTCAGTTTCAAACCATGCCCCTGGCCCTGCCCTCTGAGTGGGGCCACCCAGAGTGGGTTCAGAAGGTACAGACCCATTGCTACAACCAAACACTTCTCTGCCCAGAGCTCAGCCTGACTTGTCTTCTTCTCTAGTTGTGGAGTCACCAGTGTGGAAGAAGCAGAATTCCCTGAGCCCACCTTCTGCTTCGGGAAGCAGTGGGAAGCGCAAGCGGAAGATCCCGTTGCTGTCATCATTCCGTGGGGACCAGCTGTTGCTGGTACGTTGCTGTCTCACAGCCCCTTTGGTCTTGCTCTGGCAATAGAATGTGCTCACTGCAATTTCTGCAGGGCTGGGGGCACACTGACCTGCCTGCCCTCAGGAAGGAGGCCCCGTCTTTGATCGAGTGGGAAGTGACGCTCTCCCCAGCCCCAGTGTCTGGTGGGCTGTGTGTGGTTGTGCTGCCTGCTGCCGGACCAGGTAATGGCCTGGGGAAGGCCTGCCATGCCCTGAGTGCCACGCCGGGGGCCCACCAGAGTTGGGGACTGGAGTAGCTGCAGCAGGACCACCTGCTTCACAGGGCTCACCACAGACAGTCGCCAGTACAGCTTCAGAGAGGCTCTGCCTGCTTCCCTGGGAAGGAGCTAAGCTGCTGCTGCTCTCTCTTGGCAGCCCCCGCCACCTCAACTTGGCTACTCCATCACCTCAGAGGACCTGGACGCAGAGAAGAAAGCAGTGCTGCAGTGGTTCAACAGTGTCTTGGAGGATAAGGCTGGTAAGGATGGGCTGGAAATGTGGAGGGGTAGGAACAAGCTCAGATCTGGGGGTGCTCTTGGTGCCTTCCAGCTGAAGAGATCTCATGCCTTGTGGTGTTAGGTGAAGTTGCCTGTAGGGTGTAGGTACAGTTCCCCTGCCTGCTGGGAAGCTCTGCTAAGGGTTTATTCCTCACAGCCAGTTGTGGGTCCTGACACCTTGCTGTTTCCCTGTAGATGCAGTCTCCAGCACCACTGCAGAGATGATGCCTGTGTCCAAACCGCCGGTGTTTGTTGTGACCTCCCCTGGGCCTCTGCCTGCCTCCGCAGCTCCTGCTCATGCCAGTTCCTCACTTCTGGACAGTTTAAAGAAGATGCAGAGCAGCCAGGCTGTATCCACAATGCCAGGTGAGGAAGAAGAGGAGAGTTGACACAGTGGAATGCCAGCAGAGTCAGGCAGGTGCAGCAGGAACTCCTCGTTGCCTCTGCATGAGGCAGCTGACTAAACCCTCTGTTGAAGTGCTCTGCTGGCAGCAGAGCTAGCATGCAGGGCTTGAGGGGACACCTTTGGGGATGTTGAGCCCCTGGTCCTGCTCGAGGCTATGGTAACCATGGAGGGCTGGGTGTGATGGGAGCTCCGGGAGCCTTTGCAGCCTTGCGTGGGTACCTGGCAGAAGGGTGGGCTTCTGAAGGTGTCCCCTTGTCTGTAAATAAGCTCTTCCTGCTTTCCAGACTCCAGTGGAACTGCAGCAGCATCCCAGCCTCCTCTGTCAGCTGCACAGCCACCTGCTCCTGTTGTGTCATTGGAGTCCAGCTCTCTGCCTGCCATCTCTGCTGACACCAAGCCTGTGTCTCTATTGAGCACACCTGCCCCCAGCGCTCCCCCTGCGCTGGTGGTGCAAGCCCCCAGCAGCCTGGCCTCTCCTGTGTTCACTGAGCTGGGCCAGACCCCCAGCAAGCCTCCCTCCTTCCCAAAGCCAAGCATTCTGTTTGAGATGCTGAACACCCCACCAGCCAGCCAGCCAGCAGTGACTGCAGCCACTGCTGTGCTCACCACGGCCACTGCAATGCCTACCATGGCCTCTGCCACACCCACTGCATCCACTGCTGTGCCCATCCCGCCCACTGCCACCCCCACCACAACCCCCATCTTCAAGCCCATCTTTGGTGCTGTGCCAAAGAGTGAGAACGCAGCAGTTTGCACGGCTGTCACTTCCACCACAGCCACTGTGCCTGTAAGCTCAGGCCCTGCCTCAGCATCCTCCACATCCTCTATATTCAAGCCCATCTTTGCCAGCATTACTGCAGCTTCATCTCCAGCCAAAGTCTCTCCTTTCACCTTCAAACCTGCGGCACAGCCAACCTCAGAACCAACAACTGCCTCCACATCTGCTCTGGCAGGAATCACAGGTCTTCCCAACATCATCTTCACCACTGCAGCTACAGCTGCTACCACCCAGAGTTCCTCCACAGATGCCACCATTAAACCTGTCTTCAGCTTTGGACCGAACCCGCCTGTTTCCGCTCGCCCTGCCGCCAGCGTGACTGTCACTGCTGCCACCTCCACCAGCACAACACAGCCCTTCTTGTTTGGGGGCCTCTCCAGCTCTGCTCCCAGCACAGAAACCAGCTTTGCCACCTCAGGGCTTGTGTTCCAGTTTGGGAAGCCACCTCCAGCCACAGTCACTGCCACCACCAGTGTCCCAGGAGGCCCTCCCTTTGGCCAGGTACCTTCAAACTCAACCACCGTGGGCTTTAGCATATTTGGGAGCACTACACTGACCACCTCTGCCGCAGCCACCACAGCTCAAGCGCCGCTGACATTTGGCTCCTCCGTTTCAGCTTTTGGCAGCTTTTCAGCCAGCGCAAAGCCACCACCACCGTACCCCAGCACTGGGAGCCAGCTCACCTTCAGCACTGGGGCTGCTGAGAGCCAGGTGCCCACCAGCAAACCTGCTTCTGGCTCCATCAGCTTCACCCCCTCATTCAGTTTCGGAGCCCCCCCAGCACAGTCAGTAGCTCAGTCAGCATTTGGCAGTGGTGCCCAGCCAGCCTTTGGCACAACCAGTGCCCAGGGCTCCTTTGGCACCAGCAGCACCCAGGCAGCATTTGGGACCACCACTTCAGTGTTCTCTTTTGGAACAGCCACCTCCACCACATCCAGCTTTGGTGGCACTACCCAGACCACAAGCAGCAGCACCAGTGCCACTGTCTTTGGTACCACCCCATCTCCATTCACTTTTGGGGCCAGTACCCAGCCGGGCCCCTCCACCAGCGCCTTTGGGATGGGTACACCGGGCCTCAGCAGTGGGTCCCCAGCTGTGGCCTTCAGCTTTGGGGCTGGGCAGAGCGGGCCAGCCCCGGCAGCAGCACCCTTTGGCTCATCTCTGCCACAGAGTGCACTGGGAGTGCAGGGCCAGAGCACGCCCTTTGCCTTCACCATGAGCAGCACTCCCAACAGCAAGCCTGCATTTGGAGGTGAGTCTTTATGGAATCATGGAATGGGTCATGTTGGAAGGGACCTTAAAGATAACATTGATCCATCCACGACTCTGCCATGGGCAGAAACACCTTCCACTAGACCAAGTTGCTCAGGGGCCTGTCCAGCATGACCTTGAATATTTCCATGATGGGATGGGAGCAGACAAGCCATCTTGAGGTTCTAGAGTTGGGCAGTAGTATTCCTGATGGACCATGTCAAGGCTCTCAGGATCCACAGTGCTGGTGAGGTCAGTGCTTCTGCCATGCAGAAGCAAAGGGAAGACACTCCCATCACTCCCTGTAAGGATCCTGCCCTTCTGGGGAGGGGAATCCCTAAATTCTGCTAATTGGCCCCTCTGAAGGCACCAGCTTCCCAGCTCTGCCCATCCGAGTGTCCTACAGGGGCTGAGGTTGTCTTGAGTCCTTAAGAACCAACTGGAACACCTTAGCAAGCTGGAATGCTGCCAGCCAGCAACTGCCATCACTTTATGCTTGCTCTCAGGGTTTCCCTAAGACTTCAGATCCCCACTGGATAGTCCTAGCTCCCGTGGAACTGAAAGCCCCACAGTGAGCAACTCCTTGATCTAGAATGGCCAAGGTCTTTTTTTCTCCTTGGCAAATCCTTCTGTGCGGCACTGCTGTTTAGAGAGCTTTGGGATTACCTGGAGAGTGTAACTTTTTGCATTAAAAGGGCTTTTCAGGAGCAGAGGCTGGTTCTAGGGAATGGATTGTGATGCTTCAGCCCCCCAGAGAGCATCCTGTGCCTCCTTTGAGTTCCACCGGCTCCCAAAGGCTCTTTCTCCTTTGCCAACCCTGGCTCACAGTGACGTCTTGCTTTCCAGGATCTCCAGTGCCCACCTTTGGGCAGGGCACACCTGTCCCTGGAGCCGTGGGCAGTGGGAGCAGCACCCTTTCCTTCAGGACACCTAGCACTCCTGCCTCAAGCTTTGGAGGAGTCAGCACTTCCTTTGGTAAGGATGGAGTTGGTGCTCCAGCCTTGGGGAGCTCATGGATCAGGGTGTGCCCTTAGGCTGGGGACAGTGGTAGGGCCAGCTTCTCTGGGAGACGTGCTGGGCTCTAAGGGCTGCCAAGCCTTCTGTTCCTCCCAGGGTGAGGATGGCACTGATCCCAAAGCCAGCAATCTGAGCAACCTTTCTGCTTCCAGGTTCATCCACTCCCGCCTTCTCCATCGGGGCAGGATCCAAGACGGGCACTCGCCAACGGCTGCAGGCACGGAGGCAGCACACCCGCAAAAAGTAACCCTAGTGCTGCTGGGCTCCACTGGCTCTCGTGTGGGGGGCTGTGGACTGGAGCTGTCCTTATACTGAGACCATGCCCAGTCCCTGACACCCACTGGAGACCATGCTGGATAAACCAAACTCTTGTTACTTGAACAGTTCCAGAGCAAAGGCTGGACAAATTTCTGTACATAATCCACAATGTTCTTTCCCTCAGTTTATTTTGCCTTGTTTAATAATATGTACATTTCTCCCCATTTGCTTCTTCTAGCTGTTTCCGTGCTCCTCCCCAGCCCTCAGCCAGCCCCAAGGCCATGTCCTGCTCAGAGCTTGGCCAGTGACATGCTGTGGTTCCGAGCTGCTGTCAGACACTGTCTTAACCAGGTCCTGAAATCTTTCCCATAGGTCATCCCATGGCCTGGTGAACACAGTCCCATGCCTACAGCCAGGGTTGGTTCCAACCTGGCTCTGTTTTGGTGCTGCAGGTGACTGGCATGGGTGCGGCTGGGTGCCACCCCTGGGACCTAATGTCCTGCTACCTCCAGCTGAGGACATGACATAGCCCAGGACCTGGGCTGGAGGCATGGGGTGATGATGGGGGTCCCCCCCACCCCTCTCCCTTCTCTGCTGCTCCATGGGGCTGTGGGCTGCCCCCACCCTGCTCCCCAGTTCTGCTTTATCCATGCTCCTGTTCCTGCACTCACTGAATCGAATTTGGAGGAAGAGCTAAACCGTGTGTGTGGCGGCATGTTGGTTATGCCGGATTTGCTGTTTGGAGTTTCTTTTTTGGGGGCACCAGTCCTTGGGGGGAGACGTGCCCCAGCTAATTGGGTGTTGACAGTAGCATCACTGCGTGGCTGCTCATGCTGGGGAGTTGTCCCTTCCATGTCATGACTAAAAGGCAGCTAGGACAGGGGATTCCAACCGTGGCAGTCTCTCCACTCCCTTCCCTTCTCTCCTAGTACCTCTTCAGCACTTCAGGGGGCTCTGGAATTGCTCACAGAAGGAGTCCAGAGCAGATGCATTCTCCTCTCCATCCCAAATCCAAGTTGTTTTTAATTTTTCAGCTCATCTCCATCCCAGTGGGTTTTACTAGCTCCTAGGAACTGTGGTGCTGCCTCCCCTGTCCCCATCCAGCCAAGAGTGGGATTTCTCCCTTCCCTGCATTGGAACTTCTGTGGGAAGAGACTGCCGGAGCTTGGGGTCACCAAAGAGCCATCCCTTGCCCTGGTGAGGGATGGGTACTCCATTCCCAGAAATGTTTTGCTGCCAGGTTTTTACTCTCCGAGCCGTGTGAGTGTGTGTGTTTGCTGAGGTCTAAAATAAAAAAAAAAAAAAAAAAAAGAAAAAAAATCACAAATATTTAAACATTTTTTAACAAAATAAAAATTTATTTTTATATTTAAGCTAAATTGCCTTCAAATTCCTTCAAGCTTGGTTCAGTGAAGTTGCCTACCCCATAGCTGTTAGTGTTTAGCTATTCCTGCCCTGGCTGTGCCTGCAGGAATGCACTGTGCTGGGAAAGGCAGCTGCATCCTGCAGGCTCTACCATGCTCCCCCCCCTGCATTGTTCATCATCCCCTTCCTTTTAAATGTGACGTATGTGAATGTGACTAAACCTTTTTTTGTTTGTTTTTTAAAGTTTTTTAATTATTTCTCTGAGGGTGAGGAGCAGGAGCTATCATGTTATGGTGCTGAGTGCCAGGGTCAAGGCATCTCTTCCAGCAGAAAGGACAGGTGATGGGCTCTGTGTGACATAGTGGGGACACAGCCCTGCAGTAAGGGGACATAGAAGACCTGCAGGTGCTGGTGGGAATGTTCTGGCCATCACCAACCAGCATGGCTGAGGATGCAATGGGCCAAGAGCAGCCAGGCTGGGAAAATGTGTCCTTGGGGTTGGAGGAAGCAGAGGGCAAGGGGCTAATGCCTGCCAAGACTGACCCTGGGTGTCCTTCCCTCTGCTCCAGTTAGGATTCTTGGCCAGGAGAGCACCTGCTCCCCATCCTCGAGGTGCCTGGGTTTGGCCAGGTCAGCTCTGAGAAGATGGGGATGAGCTAGGACAAGGCTGAGGGCACCCTGGCTCTGGGTCCTGCCCCCAAGTAGCTTCCACACATAGTCCCACACACCCATGAGGAGTTAGGCTGTTCCTTCCCTGCCACACACGCCCTGCTAGGAGAGCCCCTTGTGCTTGGCGGGAGGCTGGGTTTTAACTGACTGAAGACTTGGATCATTCCTGGTGTGGCTGATGAGGATTTTAGTGTGAATGTGCAATTTTTGTTTCCTTGCTTCTTATGTCTCTGGTTTAAAATAAAATGACTGTGTTCACTTGGCTGTGCTCATGTGTGTTTCCTAGGGCTGGGATTTCCAGAGCAGGGTGGTGCTAGTGGAGTTCAGGTGCAGCACCCTCTGGTTCGTATGTCCATGCTCCCCCAATCCAAAGAGAGGGACAGGATTATTATTATTTCACCTTTTTCCCCCCACTTTGCCTCTACTATGAGCAGTGGCAATTTCATGGCAGGACTACACAAACACACTGGAAAAAAACTGAAGAGAGAAACTTTTAATCTGCTTCATCCCTACAGTGATTTTTTTTTCAGGAGGGAACATGATAAACCACCCTTAACCCAGCTGGAGGACCCCAGCCCTGCAAGGTGCAGAGTGAGGATTGCCTTGGGGGCAAACTTGGAGCAGGGAATTGGCTGCAAGGGGCAGCCCTGGGTAAGTAGTTGCCCCTTCCTGGCACCAGGGTGGTCCCAGTGTTTGGCACTCAGTCTCTGGTGTTACAGAATTCTCACTATTGACTGCAGGTAGCACATGTGTTCAGGCCAGTATGTGTCCCCAGCTGTGCAGGGGGTTGTCCAGAAAACGTTGTTTCACTCTTTAACCCGCTGCTTTTTCTTTTTCCTCTTGGGAGCTGCCCCTGGCTCTGTTCCCTCTCCTGGCTGTGGGTTCTCCTTGGCTGCTGCAGGCAGGGAGCTGTGGACAGGAGCAAACAGCCTGAGCCACACCCCGACATCGTCCCCAGGGTGCCCAGAGTGCTGACCTTGGCCATGGGCCCCCCCAGAAGCAGCTGAATTCCCCCCCAGCCCCCTCTCACCTGGGGGCAACAGCCCCTTCCCTGCACCGCTCCAGCACAGCCACAAAGAAACCGTGGGTGAGAGTCTCTGCGGGGGAGGCACGGAGGCAGCTCTCTGCTCCAGGGAAGGCTGCGAGCCCTCGGCAGGGCCAGGATGGGAAGGCAGTCACCAGCCTGCAGCACAGGAAAGGGGTCAGCCCCAACCCCTGCTCTGCACCCCCCAGATCCCCTGAGCCAGACTCACCTGAAGGCCGAGCCCCACTCCTGCAGCACAGCCTGCACCACCTCCTCGTTCTCTTCCTGGTGCAGGGAGCAGGTGGAGTAGACCAGGCGCTGGAGAGCTGGAAAGCTCAGGGCATGGCTGAGGACGCGGCGCTGGAAGCCAGCCAGCGCCTGCAAGCGTTCAGCACTCGGGGCCACCTCCTCCCCTGGCCTGCGGGTCACCATCCCTACAGGACAGGAGCTGTCACTGGGGGTTTACACACCCACTGCCCAGTTCCAGGTGAGCAGCGGGAGCCCCACACATTACCTGAGCCACTGCAGGATGGGTCGAGAAGGATGTGGGTTACTCTGCTGTATTTGGGGTCCCTGGGGTCCACAGTCAGGAAGTCCTGCTGGACCAGCTGGCAGCCAGTGACCCCTGCCCGTGTCAGCAGCGTGTTCATGGTGGCCACACGCTTGGGGTCCACATCAAAGGCAAAGATCTGTCTGAAGGCAGAGCCAAGTGCCCAAGACAAGCCATGAACAGACCGCCTGGCCGACGGGAACACTCAAATACTGGCCAGGCAGACCTTGAGAGCTGCCTCCCCTCTGGCAGGGTTATGGAACAGACGTGACTTCATGTCCCCTCAGGTCCTTACAGTGGCCCAAAAGTGACTGGCTCACCTGAGTTGGTGACAGGCTGCAGCTCCTCCTGCCACCTTCTTGTGGGCTGGGGGGGGGACCAGGGCCACCTCCCCCCTTCCCTCCACCCCTGCACACAACCCTGCCCTCACCCCTTGTTCTTCAGGATGGCAGCCAGGTGGCTTGTCTTGTTTCCAGGGGCAGCACAGGCATCAATTACATGGGAGCCAGCAACAGGGCCAAGGAGGAAGGCAGGGAGGCAGCTGGCCTGCAAGAGAGCAAAGACCGTCAGAAGGGTGGGCAGAAACATCTGACCCCTCCTCGGGCATGGCTGATGCTGTGGGGTCACAAAGACCACCATGACACAGGGCCAAGGCCACCACCACGCTCCACCAAAAGCCTTGCCCAACCCACAGCCCCCTGCTGCTCCCAACTCTCACAGGTATTTATTTTATAGCCCAGGATTTCATCCTGAACCTTCAAACAATGCAAGCAAAGCCCCAGGGGAGTCCCACAGTTTCTGCTTTGACTTAAATGCTGCAGCAAGCTGAGCCATTGTGGAAGAAGCTCATCTTTCATCCCTGTCAGTAGTTTCCCTGCCCCCGCAACTTTCTGCTCCCCAGTTCCCTCACCTTGTCCTGCAGAATTATGTGTCCTGAAGTATACAGCAGGTTGTCATGGAGGTCTGTCTGCGAAGGGAAAACCAGCAGCTCCGGAAGATGCAGATCCAACAAGAATTTTTTTCCAGAAAGGGCCTTCAACTCCTCCACACTGTCCATGAGACACAGGGAACATGAATACAAAAATCCCAGTGCTCACAGCAGAGCCCAGGCTGAGAAATCCTTCATCCCACAGCTCCTCTCCAGCTACAGGCAGCATCTAAGAGTGGGGAGTGATAGAGACCCCAAACCAACCACTCTGAGCACCCACGTTCAGCAACCCTTCAACCCACCAGACTTCATCCCACTTGCTGACATTCTGGGAAAGGTGGGATAGCAGAAATACCCACCTGGTTGCCTTGCCCAGATAGGCATATCCCTGGCACTTGAAGAAGTCGATCACATCGTCCACACAAGTCTTCAGGGTGTTGACCCGGACATAGCGTGGGACCTGGGAGGCTGCAGGGGCCGGGCAGGTCAGACACAGATCCCACTACTCCCAGGGTGCCCACCCCGCCCGAGCCCCCTCACCTGCGGCGCTCACTGCCTGCTCCGAGGCCAGCAGGTCCTCGTTGCGGCTCACCTTGTGCCGCACCTTCATGCGGGCCAGCTCGGCCTCCAGCCGTGCCCGGTGCCGCCGGGCCAGGGCCTTCCAGCGGCCGCCGCACTTCAGCCCCTTGCCGAAGAGCAGGTCGTACACCAGGACCTGCGGGAGGGGACGAGGTGAGCCCGGCCCCACCGCCCCAGCCCACCGCGGCTCCGGGACACCGCGGCCCGGGGAGGGATGCCCGCACCTTCGCCAGCTGCGGCGCCAGCTTCTTCTCGGCCCGCAGCAACGCGGCTCCATCCAGCAGCTTCTCCAGCACCGCGGCGTAGCGGAGGGTCTCGGACACCAGCGCGTACAGCTGCCGGACGTGCTGCGGAGCAGCCAGCGGTCAGCGCTACCCCCCGGCCTCCCGGGGCCGATTTCCCGCCGCCGCCCGCCGGCCTCCCGGGTGCGATTTCCCCCCGCCGCCCCGCACCCCCGTTCCCTGCGGGCGCACCGGGAAGCCGCTGTTGTACACCAGGCTCTTGAGGCCGCCCTCGCCGCGCTCCAGCCGCAGCAGCACCTCGGCCGCCGCGCTGTACAGCGCCATGCGCGCCCGCGTCTCTTCCGCCGGGGCTGCCGGGGCGCCAGGGGGCGCGCGCGGCCCCGCTCCGGGCCCGAGGCCGGGGCCGGGGCCGGGGCCGAGCGGGAGGAGGGCGCGCGGCGGGGCGGGCACCGGGCGGGCACCGGGCGGGCACCGGACTGACACCGGGAGGGCACCGGGCGGGCACCGGGCGGGCACCGGACTGACACCGGGCGGGCACCGGGCGGGCACCGGACTGACACCGGGAGGGCACCGGGCGGGCACCGGACTGACACCGGGCGGGCAATAGACTGACACCGGACTGACACCAGGAGGGCACTGGACTGACACCGGGCGGGCACCGGGCGGGCACTGGACTGACACCGGGCGGGCACTGGACTGACACCGGGCGGGCACCGGGCGGGCACTGGACTGACACCGGGCGGGCACCGGACTGACACCGGGCGGGCACGGTGCGGGCACCGGGCGGGCGCTGCCGGCGGAAGGCCCCGGGTTACAGCCCCCAGCCAGCCTGGTCACCCCAGTCACCCCCGCCACTCTGGTTACCCCATGTGATAAACGCCAATCACTTGGGGGTTTTTTAATTTTAAAAGTTTAATAATAATAAAATGGTTATAAAAATAACAATACAATTAGAGTGTTATGTGTAGTAGATACAATTCGCGCCATTTCTAGTATGATATATGTGATATTGAATATTTGTTGGAGTATACACGTTTGTATTAGGAGTCCCCCCCCCCTCCCCTCCCCCGCAGGAGAAACCTGGTGTATGTTGAAACCCGATTTACAAGTAAAAGGATGTGGCTCGGCCAGCCGGGCGCTGATCATCGGTGAAAGACCCGAGATGGATATCATGGAAATCCTCGGGCAGATACATGTGAATGCAGGCTACCCTAAATTTCGTCAAGAGATTCACCAACTCCTGACACTGAATTGTTCTTCATCACGAAAAACGAAAATCTCATTAACCTATGGACTCTGAATAGAAGAAAAGACTGCTTGCTGAAATCTTGGCCTCGGGCGGAATTTTCCCTATAAAAACCGCTTGTGCCAGGATGTAGGTGTGTGGGCATAGGGGAAAACTTCTGCTGAGGCTGACTCCTTGTGGCACACACAGGGCCGATTCCCGGGCTCGGCTCTGTCTTTTTCTGTGGCTGGCTAGATAGAATTTGACCGCTAATAAAATTATTTTTTTCCTTATTTTTAATCTGGCTGAATAAATTCTCATTTATAGCATGGTGATCCCAGCCTCCCTGACCAACCAATCATCCTGACCATCCTCGTTACCTCGGCCATCCCAGCCACCTCTATCACCCCAGTGACCTTGGTCACCAGCCCCGGACACCCCAGCTGGTCCCTGTATGTGGAAGCATGCTGACATTACTAGTGATTGTTAAACCCTGTGGGTCATAGGTTGGTGGGGATTTGCTGCAGACTTTGGTGGTGTTCATGCTGTACTCAAGCAGAGCAAAGCATGCCCAGCCCTGGAAAGAGGGGCCTGCTCCAGGAAAGAGATCTGATCTGAGAAAGAGGGATCTGCTCCAGGAAGCTGAGACCTGTATATGGAGGGTAAAGTGTTATGAACAAAACAGCCTGGCTGGGACACTTGGCTCGAACTAAGTACTGACATTGAAATGTTAATTAGCTAATCGCTCCTGGGAATCACCTACACCCCACCCAAACTAGGACTAGGATGCAAAATTAGCCAGTGGAATCATGGGAGGGGGTTTTGGGGATGAAAAACACCCCAAAATGAAAAAGAAGGGCACAGTGGAGGGGGCTGGATGGGTGTGCTGGTTGGGGAAAAGGGAACCCCATCCCTAGTCTGTGTTTAACATGTCACTATAACCTGCAGAGGACCAGATTGGACTGGGCTGTGGGAAGCAGGCACAAAGAATCAGACATTTTACCTGGTGTTATCTGCAGGGCAGGATGGGGATAGTTGCTGCTGTACCTTGGCAGCAGATTGTGCATATCTCTCTGCCCTTTGGCTACCAGTGTGCCAGCAGGAAAGGAGAGAGGATGGTCTGCGGGGACTGCAGATACAGACTGGACACCTCTTTTTCTTTGGCTCCCAGCATGCCACGGAGACTCCAGGGACAGATTCTGCAACTTTCTCACCCTGTGGCTACTGGAAGAAGCTACACCACCCCCCCCACCGAGCTGACTTTTTAATAAAGAGCTGACCACTAATAAAGGCATAAAACCTGTTCATTTCATAAAGGATACCGCAGAACAGTCACCATAAGGTGTGGAAATCTAGAGCTTCCCTCTGGTTGCCCTAGCAGGTCCGGGACCCTGGCAGGGGTCAGGAGCCCCCTGGACAGAGCCCCCAGAGACACTGTCTGTGATCTCTGTCCATGGAAAAGAGTTTTCAATCTTACAGCATGATTTACAAGCTCTGAGTGTTTGATATAAGTAATAATTAAGTGTGGCATGGGTGCAAAAGTAAAGTAAGTAGATTAGGGGTCCAAAGGGGACCAGATGAAGGAAATTGGGTGTGCCTTGTCCTTTTTCTCCTTCTTCATGCCCTCCATGTTTCACTGTGGTGTTGGCATTTTTCTGTTGGTTCAGGCTGGGGACACACTGTTCAACGTAGGTGACAGATATTGGCACGTTCTTGTAAATCCAGCCCAGGGAGTTTCTGGTATTTAATGTTTGTAACATCCCACTGAGGGCAGAGCCCCACACGCTGCCCTGCAGGACAGAGCTGGGCAGGGCAGCAGAACATGTGAGAGATAAACAGAATAAACAACCTTGAAACCAGCACAGATGAGTTATGACTTCTTCTTTGGTAGCAGGGCTCAGAGACTTTCTACAGTCTCAGAATCATCAATACCTCAGACTCCGACATGACCCTGTATGAATTCCCACAGATCTCTTTGGAGTTATCTCAGCACATGGACATCATTACAAAGCCTGGCATCACTCAAGTGATACTTCTAAGTAAGAAGCAGAAGGAAAACATGAAAAGCACATTTATCTTGGAGATGGGGGCCTGGATTTGGGAAGCTCTGCCCCAAAAGATGTGAACTGAAATCTCAGCCGCTCCCATCAGCCTCAGGGAGCACAGAGCAGTGTGTATCCAATCTGTAAGGACCAAGAGAAGAGCCAGCTGTGTGTGCTTCCCACAGCAGCCAAGTCCCCATAGGACTTCATTTATCCCCACTGCAGCAGAGAGCAGAGAGAATGTTCTCAGCAAATCACTTTGTTATCACCTAAGTTTAAGATAACTTGACTTGATGATATTGTTATCAGCTAGATTAACTTTGCTATTAACTACAATTTTTTTTTTTTTTTTTTTTTTTTTTTTTTTTTTTTTTTTTTTTTTTTTTTTTTTTTTTTTTTTTTTTTTTTTTTTTTTTTTGGTGCGGTGAAAACCTCTTATGCTTTTGGAAAAAAACCCCAAGGAACCCAAACAGTGCTCTAACTGTGTGGGTCAAGGAACAAGGAATTCTTTTGTCTGATTGTGAAAAAAATATATTTTCTCATATAATAACTCCTGGTTCATGGGTGTGTTTGGCTTATGAGCATCCCTCATATGAATCCCATCATGATCCCATTCCCCATCTTCCCTTTCAGCATCTCCCACGGGGCTGGGGATGGTCCTGGCTTCTCCCCAGGAGTGTCCAGCTTCAGGAATCTGATGATGGAAGGATCACCCTGGGGCTGTCACCCAGCCTTACACTGAAGGTCTTGGAGACAGAGCAAAGCAGAGAATGAAGCAACTTCTCTCCAAAGGGGGCTGGGGACAGGCTGTGGGGACCTTCCTTCCGAGTTTATGTTCTTTTGTGATGGTCTCAAATTCTCAATAATGTGGGTTTCTTTCTGCTTTTATTTTGCATTCTCATTAGTTTTGCATTTATACCGTTTCAAGTGCCTGAAGAAAACCAAACTTACCACCTTGTTCCAAACCAGTTTGGATTTTTTTGCCTGTGGTGGTGTTTGGTTGGTTGGGTTGGGGTTTCTGTTCTGTTTTTGTAGTTATCATGCTGGCATGGTAGCGTGGAGGAAGGTTTTAGAAAGGCCTTGGGAATGGTAAACTGAGGAAAAGGATACATTCATGTATGCCCCATTGTATTAGAAAGGCCTTGGGGATGGTAAACTGAGGTAAAAGATACATTTATGTATGCTCCACTGTTTCGGGAAAGTCCCGCTTCAGCATTCCTCTGTAGACCCCCTTCTCGCCACCCCTGAGCAGTTCCCATTGGACCTGGCCCCTGGGGTGGTTCTGATGTGCCTTAGCTGAACACTGTCTCTATTGTTTAAAACCTTATCTCTTAATTTTGCTGTATAAAACTGTATCTGAGCAATAGCCCGGGGCCTTTGGTCCCTGCTACTGTTCAGGCAATACAATCTCTCTGGACAAGCATACCATTGGTCTCTCTTGGTCTCTTTATGTCGAATCCTAGCGGCGACTGAGGCAGCGCCGCAGCTCGGACCGTGCTAACCCAGACGCTGCCTGGTAAGCCCAGGGCAGCGGGACCGCGGAAAACCCCGGCCCCGGAGGGGCCAGCTAGCCGGAGGGTCCCGGGGGGCCGGGGAGGGGCAGGGGACAGCGGCGAGAAACCCCCGAGAGCAAAGTGGCGGTTGAAAGAGAAGCAACATGTTTTGTTGTGGGATTTTGTTTGTTTGTTTTGTTGTGTTTTGGACTGTAGTTTTGGGGTTTTGTTTGTTTGGGGTTTGTGTAGTTTTTGTTTTGTTTGTTTGTTTGTTTTCTGGGTTTTTTGGGGGGAGTTGGTCTTGTTTTGTTTTGGGGTTGTTTGGTTTTGTTTGGTTTGTTTGTTTTTTGGTTGGCAGGGGTGTTTTTAGTTTTGTTTTACCTTTGGTTTGGATTTTTGTTTGATTGGGTTTTGATTTGTGGTTTTGGGTTTTTTGTTTGTTTTATTTATTCTGCAGTTGTGTGGTTTTTGCTGTGATTTGGTTGGGTTTTTTGATGTTTGTGAAAAATGCATATAATATGGCTCCACACAGATATTTACTATATGTATTATGTTATATTGATTAGTTGTGCTGTCTTAACATTTTAATAGTATGGTAAATGTAGTTTTGTAGTTAAAATGAAGCTTTAGTAGCTAAAATACAAACTGTGTATGTGGGGTTTTTTAAGGGAATGAGATACTCACCTCAAGATAAAAGTCACAGAATCCCTAATCTTCCAAAGAAGAATTTATGGTTTTCCTATCAGAAGAAGCAAATTTCTTCAGGCCTTGCTCAGACTTTTAAAATTTTAAAAACTAAGCAATTGGCTTGGTTTTTCACAATGTTGTTTTTGTGGGGTTTTATGAAAAACGCCAATCGCTTGGTTTTTAAAATTTTAAATGTTTAATAATAATAAAATGGTTATAAAAATAATAATACAATTAGGGTAATAAAGTTTAGCATTAGGACAATTACAAGACAATAAAAAGCAAAGAATTATGGATGTCCAGATGCTCTGGGACACTTAAGCCACAACAAGCATGCCTTGTGAACAAAGGAATCACCCTTAAACCAATGCACTTGTTGCATATTCATACATCCTTCATGGTTATGCATATGTTCTATTCTAAACAAGAAACTCTGTCTCTTGTATGTCAACTGTTTCCTTTAATCCCCTGGCGTCTTTGAGTCTGACAAGGCCTGAAGAAATTAGCTTCTTCTGATAAGAAAACCATCAATTCTTCTCCTTTGGAAGATTTAGGTGTTCTCAAAGTGAGTATCTCATCCCTAAAAAAAACCAAACATCCCCCACATACATAGTCTGTATTTCAATGTTATGTTGGAACCTAAAACTACACTTAACACAATACGTAAGAGAATTAATACAGCATAACTTTCTAACATTACACATATAATATTCATTGTAACATTTGCGAAAAGCCAATCATAAAATATGCGTTTTTTCGCAGGTTTGGTTTTGGTTTTTGAGTTTTGGGTTGGTTTGGGGTTTCTGTTCTAAGGAAGCGCGGGAGGCAGCGCGCACCACGGACTACATCCCCCAGCGTGCACCGCGGCGCGCCGCGACGTCCCTCCTGCCATTGGTGCAGCGCCGTGGCGCGCCAGCTCTCGCGTGTCGCGAAAGCCGCGCGCTGGGCCGGGGCAGCTGCTCGGAGCACGATTGGCCGGAGGCCGCGCGCGGGGGGCGGGGCCTGGTGCGGGGGCGGGGCCTGGCGCGCGGCGGAGATGGCGGGAAGCCCCGGCCGTGAGGGGTGGCGGGACCCGGCTCCGGCTCTGCCGTGGGCTCTAGCACCGACCCCGGCCTCCACACCCGCTTTGCCTCTGGCCTCGGAGTCTCTCCAAGCCCTGCAGGACCTGACCGGCGATGGAGGGGTCCGCAAGGAGCAGCTGCGCCCCGGCACCGGGCAGCCCGTGCCGCCGGGCGCCTCTGTGGCAGGTAGAGCCGGGTCTGGGGTCTCCTGTGGGCCCCGAGAGGTCCCATGGCCAGGTCCGGGCACTCCTGTAAAGGATGTCCCAAGGAAGCTGTGGTTGCCCGTTCCTGGGAATGTTAAGGGCCACGCTGCTCTAGTGGGAGGTGTCCCTGCTCATAGGTTGAACTTGGATCATTTTCAAGGTCCTTTCCAGCCCAAACCGTTCCAGGATTCTCGCGGTGTCTCCAGGGCTGGTGTCCTGCAGTGAGGCTGCCTGAGCACAGCCTGGCTGCCCGCGGGTGTTCGGGGTGCTCTGCAGGAATGTTATGCCTGAATTCAGTAGTTCAGGCACCAGTAACCATCTCCTGAGCAGCTTTTAAATAGGAATTGTTTAGTTTAGCCTGTGTTCAGCAGGGCTAAGAACATGAAAATCCTTGGAAGTGTGGGCTGGAGTGGGGATCTGGTGCTCATCTCTGTCACCTGTCTCCCCCATGTGAAGTTTGGTCTGTGTAGCTGGACCTGAAGCAGGTGCTGAGGAAAACAGGTCAGAGCCTGTTGGGAAAGATCCCCCAAGACTCTTAATGTTGACATACTGGTGACTGGCAAAGACCACAACAAGGACTTAAACATGCTCATGTTATACTGTAGTGTGTCTCTGTTTCATAGATTGTCTCCTCTCCTTATCAGTATTTTAGCACTTGGGATACCCTGTTTAACTTCTCGTGGCTGAAACATTAAATGAGAAGGCATCTTGACCTTGAGGAATGAAGGATTTCTAGGCCCCACCTGTGCTCACAGAGAAGTTTGAAACTGGAAGCAGTTCCTGAAGTGCAGGGCCCTCGTGCTGTGTCAAGAGAGGCCCATTACAGTGCATTTTCTGAGACAGAACTGGAGTTACAGATGCAGAGCTTGGGGTAGCAGTACATTTCCCCCCTTGTCCCTCTTTCTAGAGCTCCAGCTTTGGTTAGGGAATTCTTTTTAAATATTTATGCATATAGCTGGGGCATTTTAATTCACTTAGCTGAAGTTTCCAATTCTTAAATGTGCAAAGTTACATCTCTTAAATAGATTAGGACTGTAAAGCAGCTGCTTTGTCTGGGGATGTTAAAACACACAGCAGATGGTTGCTTGGATGTGACCAGGTTTTTGGTGTAAAACAGAAGGGTTTTTGCTGCCTCTGCTGTTCTATAGCAGAACAGAAAAGGAGAAGCAGGATGACTGGGTGGTTGCAATTCCTGGTGTACTCCTGATGCTGTGGGATATGAAATCAACCTCTTGCTTTTCCCTTGTCCCTACTCCTCGCTTTGGGCTGTACAGTGAAGTACTCCGGGTACCTGGGAAATTGGAATAAGCTCTTCTGTTCAAATGGGAACAGCAAGTATCCAAGGCTGATGAAACTTGGAAAAGGTAGGTTGAGCCACAAACTTTGTCATGGGGCTTGGGATTGTATTAAGGCATTTTGGGAACTGGGGTTGTATTAAGGCATTTTAGTTTAAACTCTGTTTGGTGTCTTAAGGTTAGTTGAAACCCTTAACACTTGCTCATGGAGTCCAAAATCCTCCTGGTTCACATGGGAGATGGAATCTGGACCTGCTCACCCTCTGCCTGGGAGTGGTAGGGAGGTGTTCCCCACCTGCGCTCAGGTAGTTTTAAATCTCTTGAGAGCAGATGATGTTTTCCAGGCTGGACAGGTCTTTTAGCATGCTGGTCTAGTGGAAGGTGTCCCTGCCTGTGGCAGGGCTTGGACTGGATGATCTCTAAAGCCCCTTTCGAGCTCATCTAGCTCTGGATTTGCAGTACCACATGCTCAGTCCCACAGTGGCAGTTTCCCTGATAATCCATTCTGGAGCAGCTTGCTGTTGTAGTTGCTGAGACAGGAGCTCCCAGGGATTTTTTTTTCCTTCAGGCTTAAGGAGAAATCATAGTTTGGTGTGTGAGGGTGTTGGTGTTTGTGAAGCTCACCTGTCTCACCCCTTGTTATGACAGACATCACACTGTGGGGGCTGGAGATCGGGCTACTGTCAATGACCAAAGGCGAGGCTGCACTGTTCGTCCTCGCTCCCGAATACGCCTACGGTCAGCGGGGCTGTCCTCCCTTCATCCCCTCAAACACCATGGTCCTCTTCAAGGTGGAGGTGCTGGACTTCATCGATTCAGAGGAGTGCGATGCCTTCTTTGAGTTGACTTATGTGAGTTCTTTTAATAAAGCTTGAGCCCAAAATCTGGTGGGTGAACCATCATTGTCCTGTCTCACACAAGTGTGGCTTGTGCGTTACATGTGTTCAGGTGAATGCTGGTGCAAGTATCTAGTCTCTGGGCTCCCAGCTCTGCTCTGATCCGTGTCTCTGCCCTTTGTGTCCCTCCATATCTCACTGTTTGCCCTCCCACGCAGAGGGAGAAGGTGAGGTTTGCCTTTGTTTGCTCCTCTGTGCTGGATGGAGTCAGTGGAATGGCTCCCATTTATTTTTAGTTTCACCAGAAACCTCATGGTTGCACTAGAGGGCATTAACTTCTAGGAATTTCTTTAAGGAACAGTAAGGAGCTGACTGTAATAATCCTATTCAGTCTGCAGTGTCCCAGTGCCCCACCAGCCCCCACCCTTTGTCTCTGCCTCTTGGCTCCTCTCCCAAGTGCTCCTTGTTTTTTCCTTCCTGGTGAGTTACAGTGCTATTGTTAATTCACCTTTTCATGCCAAGGGCTTTGGGCTGTGGTTATGGGTCAGTGAGTGGAGGCAGAAGCTAATGGGGGAGCCCCTCCAGCCCCTGCACAGGCAAATTTTTCCCCAGAACCCTGTGAGCAAACCACACTTGTGCTCCCTCCTTGCCCACCTATTTTGGCTGACTGACCTCCCTCTATGAGCTGGTTCCAATTTGCAGACCCAAAAGAAAACCTGTCCCTCCATTTTTATATTTTTTATTTAATGATTATTGGGATTTTTGTTTTGCTGTCTTTGGGAGTGTCAGGCTGTCCCAGAGCTGGCCTGAGAGCAATTAGAGCAACAAAACCGTTCAAGCAGCTTTGTGCCAGTGCCAGCATTTGTGTTAACTCAACTGTGTGCTGAAGGAGTTGGGCAGGTTTTAAGAACACATTCCTGCTTTTTTCCGTTCTACTTTGGGCCTGGGGAGCTTCCTGATCTCTTTACTGGGAATAATCAGCACAAGAACACTAATGTTTCAGCCTGGCTGGGGAGATACCACATGGTGGTGGCCTGGCCTTGGTAAGGACCTGGCTTCTGCTCTGTGAATAGGAGGGGGCTGGTTAGGACTGCCCTATTTGAGTTCTCTGCCTCTTTTCTTTAGTTTGAGCTGAAATTCAGATATTTCTTCACACAGGAACAGCAGGATAAACTTCCTCTAGAAAAGCTGTTGAAAGTGGCAGCCACAGAGAGAGAGTTTGGCAACTACTTCTTCTATAAGCAGCACTTCAAGATTGCCAAGGACAGATACAAGAGGGTATGGCACCAGGAAAATGTGGGGTGTGCTTTGGGAAAGCTGTGAAAGAAGGGATTTTTTTAGCTCACCACAACAGGTACAGGTTAGAGATCAAATAACTTTATGGTATTTTGCAGGTTTGTTACTTCAGAACCGGGCTTGCACACCTGATTTTGTGTGAGCAGCAGTGGTAAATGAAGGAATAGTCACAGAATAATTTTGTTTGGAAAAACTTTCTGAGACCACCAAGTCTAACTGTTCCCCAGTACTGCCAAGGCCACCACTAACCCATGTCCACAGGGCTGTTAAATCTCTCCAGGGGTGGGGATTCCACCACTGCCCTGAACAGCCTCTATGCCAGGGTCGGACAACACTTTCAGTGAGAAATTTTCCCCAGCATCCAACCTGAACCTCCTGTGCTGCAACTCAAGGCTGTTTGTCTTGTCCAGCTACCTGGGAACAGAGCCTGACCCCCATCTGGCTGCACCTTCTTGTCCAGGAATTGTAGAGAGTGAGAAGGTGATCTCGCTGGTCCTTTTTCCCAGTCTGAGCCTTTTCAGCTCCCTCTCTCAGCAGGGTAGATGTTCAGTTATTCTCAAACTGGAAGGCATCTGCTATTTTTTCGGGGGTAGAGATGATTCAAAGTTGCTTTTGCTTGGTATTTTTGAAAGGACTTGCCTTCTCCCCTGTAAGATATCCATATTTATCCTGTAAGACATCCATATTAAATCTGAGACCTGGGTCCTTTTTTTGGACTCTGCTGCTTTTCATGGTAATTTTCTAAACCTGTCAGCATGACTAGTAATGCTGAGAATGCCATGCTCTGTATTTAGAGTTCTGATTGTTATTACTTTTTAGTGACCTAGGTGAACAGAAATACGGATGTAGCTGTTAGATGAGATGGATTTCTCACTTTCCATGATGCATTTGTTGTGCACTGACTGGTTTTCCCTCTCTGTTCAGGCGCTCTCCATCCTGGGTCACAGCTCTTCCAGTAAGGCAGAGCAGAGCCAGATCAACGCTTCCAAACTGCTGCTGTTCCTGAATCTCTCACTCACTTACCTGAAACTGGAACGTGCCGACCGAGCTTTGAAATACGGAGAGTTAGCCTTGGAGATGGACCAAGGAAATGCCAAAGCGCTCTTCAGGTGTGGCCAGGTGGGCAAATAAATCATCATGGAACATCCCAGCCTGGCTGTGGAGGAAGCCCAGAATAAACTGAGGAGAATCTCTGAATTCTGGGCTGCTTCAGTAGTCAAGGTGATCTGTCTGCATCTGCCCTTTTGGAAAGTCTGGCTCTCTGGAAATGTGTCACATGGAGCTTTTCCTGGAGTGTTCATTAATTGCTTTTCTCTGTTGCAGGAAAGTTTGTTTTGGCACAAGGCCTGAAGAAGGTCAGTGGGTCTGTATTTATCTTGTGATGCATCTAAATTGTTTCCATGACAGGCTTGTCTATACATGAAGGAGTACAACAAATCCCGGGATTTCCTGGCCAGAGCTCAGCGCATCCAGCCCTTCAGCCGTGATATCAACAATGAGCTGAAGAAGTTGGCAAGGTGAGAGCCCTCCTTTCCATACCTGGGGAAGAGAGAGTGTTTGGACAGGCTGTAATAGCCATTCCAAAATATTAAAAATATTAAAAAAACCCCCAAACTATTGGGTTAATAAGTGACTTGGGAAAACACATATGGAGAAAACAGCTTGAAAGACTTTTCAGGCCCAGAAGCTGCAAGTCAGGAGCTCAGAGTACCCACCCTTTCCATATATTTCTTTGGTCGGATGTGTGTTTCCTGACTTGTGAGCAGATCAGGCTGAGGACAGAGATGTGAGGGCTACTAGAATATCTCAAATACAGTGAAATACAGTTGGCTGATGATCTAGCTGTTAATGTTCTCAATGAGTGTGATTTTCATTCCCTTTAAGATGTGTTTGTTATTTTCAGCAGCTGCAGGTGCTTCAATGCACAATACTAATATTCATTAAAAGTTAATTTCTTGCTGTCTTGGAGATAATAAATGAACAGCCCTGAAGATGAACTCTTCCCTTCCCCACAGATGAAGTCTTCTTTTCCTCACAGGCTGAGTTCATGCCACCTTTAGTCATGCCCCCACCCCACCAAAATGTGACTAATGGTTATCTATGTCCTCATGATGCTCTTCCTTTGAAACTGCCAAAAGCATTAGCTTTTTCCCAAAAGTGTGTGCTGTCCTCCTGGCACTGTTTACTGAGGCAGAAGAGATGCTGTCCTCAGCTCTGGAGCTCACAAAGCAGCCCTTGAATACAAACCCTCTTCTGTATGTCAGTGCCAGGCACTTGCAGAAAGGCAGTAATACCTAAAAAGAGTGGTTGGTGCTGCTGGAAAAGCTGGTGGGCTGAGTGCCTTTTGCCAGGGGATATGTTGCTGGAGGGCTGTTTCTGTTTTGTGTATCCATGTTGTCTTCAATAGTCTGGCATAACACCAAATCTGCAAATTTGTTCTGTTACTTCTGAAGTACAAAGAGCTTGAAGGCAGTATTAGCTTCTGGTCTGGAAATTTTAAGTTAATCTCTTGTATTCATCCTGATCTCCAACTGGATGTGGAGCTATCAAATTGTCCACGGAGGGTGGGGAGTTCTAAACTAGATCTGGCTGGCTGCTCTTGGAAGCTAGAAGGCCTGATTCTAGAAGCCTCATGTTTTCACTTAGTTTTGTTTGAAATATGTTGGTAGATAAAAGAGAAATTTTGCTAATGGTGTTTAGGTGGTGTGGCCAGGAAGCAACAAGGCATTTCTGCCTCTGTCAGCTCCAGCTCTGTAGAGAGCAGCATGTTCAGGGAGTGTGCATGTGTCAGAATTGAGTGCACCTTAAACCACTGTTGTCCTGGAGTTCCTGCTTCACTGCCTGTTAAAACTGGTGTACTTTTTGCTTTTAATCATGCAATGGTTTGGGTTGGAAGGGACCTTAAAGCTCATTCCACTGTCATGGGAAAAGACTCTTTTCACCATACCAGGGTGCTCTAAGCCCTATCCCACCTGGCCTTTAACACTTAAGGGATGGGACAGCCACAGCTTTTCTGGGCAGCCTGTGCCAGGGCCTCCCCACTCTCACAGGGAAGAATTTCTTCCCAATATCCCATCTAACCCTGCACTCTGGCAGCAGGAAGCCATTCCCTCTTGTCCTTGTTCAAAGTCCATCTCCAGCTCTTGTAGAGCCCCTTTAGGCAAGGAAGGGATTCTGAGGTCTTCCTGGAGTTCTTTCCAGGTGAGCACCCTTGTTCTTCCAGCCTGTCTTCAGAGCAGAGGGGCTCCAGCCTTTGGAGCATCTTCATGGCCTCCTCTGGACTTGCTCCAGCAGCTGGATGTGTTTTCAATGCTGGAGGCAGCACTGTAGGAGAGGTCTTCTGCCTGTGACAAAGAGTGGAATTAGTGTGAAGCAGATGTACCTCTGGCTAGATATGTAATGTTGCCAGCCTGCCTTGCCTGAGAACTGGTAGTGTGATCTGACAAATGCTTCAGAAAGGGAATATGAATCAAAACCTTGTTCTTAGTGGCTTTTCACTTCCTTACTGGGTACATTTATACTTCATTAAAAGCAATGTTGTATGGTAATCAGCAATCTCCCTTTTGCTGTCTAAAACAAACCTTTGGAATGCATCTGTTTCATGGCTGAAACAGGTTCTTGGCAAAATGCTCTGGAGAACAAGAGGCAAAATGCTCAGGAGAATCCAGAGTGAGAGGTATGTAGAATGTGTCTGGTACCTGCTGTGGTGGATTTGGTGCAAATTCTGCTGCTGGATCTAGGAATTCTGTTGGAAGGCTTGCATTGCATCAAAACCAGAATGAATTTGGGTTCTTCCAATATCTGGCATTACCCTGTTCATCCAAACAAAGGGCTCTTGGATTTCCTACTATCATAGGTGTGGGAATGTGCCAGCTACAGGTGAGCATCCTTGGTCAGCAACTTCTGTGTGAGACTTACCAGGAGAGAGTTTGTTGTGCTGGGATTTCATACCCTCTAAGGTTCTGGGCCCCAAGGATGCTGAGGGCTGGGGCTGAGAGAACCTGAGCCAGCCTCTCACTGGGGCTGGTTCTAGTGTGTTGCACAAAACTCTTTGCTTTTGGCCTTATATGGCAGCAGATGCAGGAAAGCTGAACTCATGGGCAGCCACTGATCCCTGGAACAGTGTTCCCAAACTGAGTCAGCCTGCAGTTCAGAGATTCCTTACCAGTGAGGTGAGAGCACAGAGAGCAGAAGATACTGCGCTTGGAGAAGTTCAAATGGAGCAGACTGCGAAGCTTTTGACATCCTGTCACACTGGCAAGGAAGACAGAACAGAGCAGGATACATCTGCTTGTCATCCACATAGCCCAGACACAAATCCTTGCTGTCTCCTTCCCATCCTCTGCCCAGATCCTATATCCATGGCAGATATCCTGCTGTATGGCAGTTGAACAGTGTCTCCTGGGTGCTAAAAGGACTTGCATAAGGACACACAAAAGTATCCCACAGCACACAGATGGGGTTCCTCTGCACTATCCCATGTTTCCAAGACCAGTGTAGAAAGCACCTGTCTCACAGAAGGCGAATTATCTAATTAGTCCCAAGCACAGCAGAGATCCAAGGGCTGGGGGTGAGGCATGACATTCCCAGCTCTTTTCCTGACATTGTAGAAAGAAGGGCTTGGTGGAGCTGTGCCTCTGCTGCCAGCACACTCTTCCATTGTGTTAATTTATTTATATCCAAAAAATAACATTCTTTTCAGGGGGTGGCACAGACAGTCTCCAGCCCCTGACGCCATTCTGTGCTCTACTTTGCAGATGCTACAAGGAGTACGTGGAAACGGAGAAAGAAATGTGCTGCCAGATGTTTGACCCTCTCAATTCTTATGGCTGAGAAGAAATCAAGGTAACCAGGTTTTTAAAAGGGCTGAGCTCTCCCAAAACCTGTCATACCTGTAGTGTTCTCAGGTGGAGAGCCTGCTTCTCTTTTGCCGGGGAGGCTTTTGGAGGCAAAATGGAAAGTGATGGGAGTGTGTGGAGAGGAAAGGCAGGATGGTGGGGTAGAGTACTGCTACATCATCATCTTGAAGAGTCTTTCCTGTGAGGCAAATGTGTGGGACAGGGACTTGGAGCTGGCAGCAGTTGAGTAAGTTTGGTTTGTTGTTTCCTGTGCTGCTCATCCCAGCTATTCCTGGTCAGAGCCAGGGGCTGAAATAGGTCTGTAATCTTGTTTCTCTGCCAATTAAAAGAAAGGGGAAAAAAAGAAAAGTTCCCGTCAAACTTAAGAATTGGATTTCCTCCTCCCCTCTAGCACTTCTGTCTGGAATTCTGTCTTCAGCACTTTTGTCTGGAATTCTTCACTTTAGAAAAATACAAATATTTTATTTCTGGGGTTTTTTAAAGTATTAAAATAAGTCTGTATAGAAAACTTCAAGTAGATGTTTTGGACTCTTTAAAGCTTTAAGTCTTCTAGCAAAATTGACAGGTTTATAAACGTACAAAGGCTCTTTGATCTTTTTTTTTCTCAAAATCTTCAGGGAGGTGCAAGCAGGAGCAGAAATCTTTTCTGGTCTCTTGCTTTGGGGGAAACCCTAGGGAAAGAATTCTGGAAAATGACAAAATCCTTCTGTCATGAACCATGCCCACTCAGGGCCATCAGTTTGCTGCTGTTGTCTCTCCTGCAATACAGACAGTACCTCTTCGGTAGCAGAAAATGAATATTGGCAGTCTTTCCATCAGCTCTGGTGTTTTAAGGTTGTCTCTTTGTGCTTATGAGGAAGCTAAGGCAGTGTTTGAGGAAGAGGTTGGATTGAATGCTGCTTCTAAAGGAACACAACCTTCTCCTGACTGCACATGACTCCTTGTGGAGCCTTTACCCTTCCTGCTGCCCCTGTGCTCTGGTCCAAGCTGGGCATATGAATTCAGAGCACAAGTCATCCTGCCCTGGGTTTGGGATGAGGCTACTAAGTGTGTTAGCAGGTACTTGCCCCCAGGAAAGGAGCTCTGAAAGGGGATGTAAGATTGATGAGATCTTGTGCAGAAAGTCTGTGGCTCTAGACTTGGCATGAGGCTCTGATTCTCCACTTGCTGTGTTTCAGGAAGTTGCAGTTTGGAAACATATAGGACCTTGGGTCTCATCCCTGGTGGTGTCTGACCTGGGAAGCTCTTGTGAGGGTTTGGAATCAGGTGGTGGAAGTCAGAGTGATTGTAGTGATCTGCTGGGGCATCAGACAGGTCCTCCCCTGGGAGAATTGTGTGACTACTTGTTTCCCAAAAAGCATTTTGTGTTGTAAGTAAAGCCAGTGATTTTGGTTAGAGGAGACTGAGAAGTACAAAGGAAAAGAGCAAAATATCTCCTGTAGTCAAGCTTAAGTGCTGGGCTGAACTGTTTATCAGCCAATTTATCCACTGACTCCTGTGTATGGATTTCTCACACCTTACATAGCTGATGGATAGCTGTCAGTCAAAAATGTTTCCAAGCCTCCTTGAAGTTGATTTTTGTTGCAGTATTAAAAGGAAACTAAGTCTCCCAGATGAACATAAATCACTGAGTCCCAAACAAAAATCTACTGTTCATTCATGGCAAAAGAAGTCCTTTGCTGGAGGAGGTTCTTGCAGGGTCCTGTGTGAGCTGAAGGTTGGGCTGCTACTTTAAAACTTCATTATGCATTCAGAGAGGGGCAAAGCAGTTCCAGCAGGAGCTCCTGCTCCCTGTCAAAGACACTGGTAATTGGTCAGAATTGAGGCAGAACATTCTTCAGTGTTTTCCAACAGCTTTGTACCAGTAAAGTTTAGGGTACAGGCTGTACTGGGGCAGTTTGGCAGGCCAGCTTCATCCGTTCTCTTAGACACTGAGTGAGGAGATGGGCTGGGAGTGCTGTCTGCAGTCTGTGGTTAATGGACCAGTGCAATCACAAAAATTAAAGAAAATCTCCCTATATACCAGCTGACAGGTGCTTGTGGAGCACTGAGCTGACCTGTGGTCCAGCTCCTGAATGGCTCAGAGCTGTAGTTGTAGCATCTCTTCCCTCCTGATCATTGCTGCCTCCATCCCTTGCTTCAGAGCTCTTTCCAAGCTGAGACTGCTGTGCCTTTGCTGAGCCCTGCTGTGTTCCAAGAACAAAGTTCAGTTCTCTGTACTGACTAATCCAGGGCTGTTTTGTATAATTACACTCAAACCTGGGTGCACCTGAGCATCTTCCTTCTGCCTGATATTTTTGCAAGGCATTTTGTAGCGACAGGACAAGGGCGAATGGCTTTAAGCTGAAAGAGGGAAGATTCAGATTGGATATAGGGAGGAAATTATTTCCTGTGAGGGTGGGGAGAGCCTGGCACAGGTTGCCCAGAGAAACTGGGGCTGTGCCATCTCTGGAAATGCTCAAGGCCAGGCTGGATGTGGCTCTGAGCACCGTGGTCTAGTGGCAAGTGCCCCTGTCCATGGCAGGGAGTGAAACCAACAGGTTTTAAGGTCCTTTCCAACCCAAACTATTCCATGATTTCTGTAACCCCTGCCAGCTGTAGAGCCCAGTTCTTCTAATTGCCTCAAACATCTCACTCAGAACACATTTCCTACCCTTTCAGTGGAATTTTGTGTCAGAGTAGATTTTCCCTTTGGCGAAATGCAAGGCTGCTTGTGGTCCTTCTTGGGGGGAATTCAGAAGTACTCAGAAGGAGACAGAAGCACAAACTCCTTTTTAAATCCATCCTGCTGCAGTTTCTTCTGAATCCCTTGGGTCTCAGGCTGGCCCCTCTGAGGGTTTGGTTTATTTACCTGTCTCTGTTCACTTTGTGTGGTGCAGGTATGTAGAGCCTAATTTCCTGGGATGTGCAGGGCTGGAAGTCCTCCTTGGTGTCCCCTAAACTGCAGAATGGTGGGCTGAGGCCTCTGGCTTTTTGGAGCTTTTTGTTTTGTTTTGATTGAAAGACCCATCACAAAAAAAAAACCAACTTTCCCATTGTTGTGTTGCTGTGGACTCTCTCTCATAAGAGAACTAAATCATGAGGACTGGGGACAACTTCCTTAGGAATGTCTGGATTCTAGTAGTGGCTCCTTGGTGATAGTTCTGTCCCAGGAGGATGAGTCTCTGCACTCTTAATTTTGGTTATAGGTGCGCCAGAGCTGAAAGCTTGTCTCTAATATGTATCTCAGCTCAGTACACAGGAGAAGTGGTCCCAGGAGATGGGAGTACACAGGGAGATGTTCCAGTGAAAACAGACAAGACTGAAATTATAACAGTAACTTTGAGGTCAAACTGATGATTGCCATGAATTGCAAGTTCTACCAGTTTTGGAGGCATTAATGGGCAAGAACTGGCTGCAGAACTGAGGCTGTGTCACCAGGTAGAAGTGTCTATAATTGGGCTTAAAATCAGCAGCAGTTGCCAGTTGAACTGACCTACTAAGCTGCAAGAGCCTTGCAAATAAACTGAGAAGTCTGTGCATAACACAATCAAACTCCTGCCTTGGGAAAGCTCCAGACTTGGAATAAACAGCAACTTTCTCCTTCCCCTCCTGCTCTCTCTTATTCCTGAGCAGAGCTGAAATGTCCCTCCCCACTGCGGCCAAACAACAGAGAAGCAGCGATTCACTGCTCCTTTAGAATATGCAAATCCCTGTCCCACTGAGGTGCCCTGTGCTGCAGAGGAAATTGTTACATCTCTGTTTTCTGCTGAGCCTTCCCAGCTGAGGGGGAAGACTTGAAGGAGGACTTAATTAAGTATTCTCCTTGTTAAGCAGAGGAAGGAGAAAAGCTTTAATGAAGTTGTTGAGCTGGGGGTTTTGTTTTCCTTCAGGCTCTCTCCTCTTCTAGTGTCTTGCACTTTTTTCTGAGGATTTTTGCAGTTCCTGCCTGCAGTAGTACCTGTAATACATCTCTGGAAGGATCCTTGGCTCTGTTTTCCTCTGGAAACTGAAGAAATTACTGTGGCACCTGGTTTTAGGGATCCCTGATATGCTTTCCTAGGGGACGTACTGGACGTGATTCTGGATGCACTAGGGCTGGCTTTGCCCAGACTGGGAGGTCTGGCCAGGACTTAGAAGCCACAAGATGATGTGAAATGGAAAGGAGAGAGACCTGTGCAATATCCCAGTGTCCCACTGTGCCTGTCCTTCAAGGCTTTGGTGAAGTATTGGTCCTCCAGCCTTATCTAAGGATGGGCCCTCGGCTGTTCTCTCTGATTTAGGAAGTGTCTAAAGCCTGTAATTTCCTTTGGTGTTCAAACACAAAGCTCCCAGGTAAGGTGGAGCAGATTCCTGGCTGCAGTGCTGAAAGGAAATGTTGCTGACAGGAGGTTGGGGCCAGGTGGGGTTGGGCTGTGCTCTTAGGTGGTAAATGACAGGACAAGGGGAAACAGCCTCAAGTTGTACCGAGCTTAGATTGGGTATTTGGGAAATTTTAATGGAAAAGCTTGTAAAGCATTGGAATAGACTGCCCAGAGCAGTAGTGGAGTCACCCTTCCTGTAAGTGTTCCAAAAATGCATGGATGTGGGATATGGTTTGTATGAATGTGGTGGTGCTGGATTGGTGGTTGGACTTGATCTTAGAGGGTTTGTCCAACCTTCTGTGATTCTGTTCTCTTCCACCTCCTGCCTGTTAAAGGTCACCTGGCACTGGTCTTGGGAAGGCCTGGCTGAGACCCCAAGGGATATTCCTGTGTGAGGTTTTACTTCTCGGAGCTTTTTCCAGCAGCTCTAATATAAAATATTCTGGTGCTACAAATCAGTAGAACATGAAAAAGGTGCTGGACTCTTTCTGTTCCCATGATAACATCTGGTTTATCATGCAGGTGGAGTTTAAACAGAATTGGCTATGTGTAAGATGGGAATTTCTTTATGAAGTCTTAGCTTTGCAGAGCACTCAGAGTCACTATCCCTCACTTCCAGCAGCAAGGAAGGACGTGATTATCC